GAACTCCCGACCTCAGGTGATCCACCTGCCTCGGCCTCCCAAAGTGCTGGGATTACAGACCGCACCTCGCCGGGCCCACAAGGGTTACTTTCTAAAGAAAGAAAACACTTGACTTTTTGTCATGGGATAACTAAGTAGTTACTGGCAATAGCTAAAATTTTGAAAATAATTGACAAGGTTGGAATTAATCGTTACTACCACTGGGGGCAAATTCTATCCTCCTCATTTCTTCATGCATTTAGATAAGATAAGACTCAGATTTCTGACTGAGCCAAGCAGAACTGACAGTAAAGTGTGCCTTGCAGCCCAGGCTGAGTGTGGGAGCTTTTGACAGCCTGTCCCTGGGGCATTTCCCTCTTGGGCTTTGCCACTGGTCTAAGGGCTCAGGGATTCGGCCTAGGAATGGGATCCTTGATTTCCAGGATCCAGGAGCTCCGCCTTCCAGCTGTGCCTGCTTTTTATATAGGTGAGGCTTAGGCCAGTCCTGGAAACTCCACGTGCTTTCTCGGCTTTTTCTGTAAATGGACTCAGTAATCCAGTTAAAAATCAGAAAGTAGGGCCGGGCACGGTGGCTCACGCCTGTAATCTTCAGCACTTTGGGAGAGGGTGGGGTTTCCCCACACAGAGGCGGGCGGATCACCTGAGGTCTGGAGTTCCAGACCAGCCTGATTAACACAGAGGAACACCCCCTGCTCCCCCTCCACCGCCCCATCTCTACTAAAAATGCAAAATCAGCCAGGCGTGGTGGCGGGCGACTGTAATCTTAGCTACTCAGGAGGCTGAGGCAGGAGAATCACTTGAACCCGGGAGATGGAGGTTGTGGTGAGCCGAGATCACGCCATTGCACTGCAGGCTGGGTGACAAGAGCTAAACTCCGTCTCAAAAAAAGAAAAGAAAACCAGAAAGTAGGCCAGCACGCCTATAATCGCAACACTTTGAGGGCTGGAGGTGGGAGGATCTCTTGAGGTCAGGTGTTTGAGATCAGACTGGGCAACAGAGGGAGAACCAATCTCAAAAACAAAAAAAGAACTTACATTCTTTCTTTCTGCCTTGAGATATAAATCGATATCCTGTTTCCTTTAAAATTTGGCTGGGCCTGATGGCTCACGCCTGTCATCCCAGCGCTTTGGGAGGCCGAGGAGGGCAGATCCCTCGAGGTCAGGAATTTGAGGCTAGCCTGGGAAACATGGCGAACCCCATCTCTACTAAAAACACAAAAATTAGCCAGGCATGTGGAGCACGCCTGTAAATCCCAGCTACTCAGATGGCTGAGGCACAAGAATCTCTTGAGGCCAGGAGGCAGAGGTTGCAGTGAGCTGAGATCGAGCCATTGCACTCCAGCTTGGGTGACAGAGCAAGACTCTGTCTAAAAAATAAATAAATAGGCTGGGTGCAGTGACTCACGCCTGTAACCCAGCACTTTGGGAGGCTGAGGCAAGAGGATCCCTTAAACCCAGGAGTTCAAGACCAGCCGGGGCAACATAGTGAGACCCCCATCTCCACAAAAAAATACAAAAATTAGCCAAGTGTGGTGGTGAGTGCCTGTGGTCCCAGCTACTTGGGAGGCTGAGGCGGGAGGATCACTTGAGTCCGGAAGGCAGAGGTTGCAGTGAGTTGTGTTTGTACCATTGCACTCCAACCTGGGTGACACAGTGAGACTGTCTCAAAAATAAACACATAAATATTATAATAGTGTATATATAGAAACCTCATCTCTGGCACTTGGTATCGGCATTGCAGATGAAGTACGGGAGATGACTGATATTCAGTAATGGTGCTGGGAGATTTGGTTTTCCATATAAAAATATATACTATATATATATATACACACACACATACACACCCCATCTAGGTTTGTGTAAATATACTCTATGATGTTCATACAACATGAAATTGCCTAATAACACATTTCTCAGAACACATCCCTATTGTTAAGTGACCCATGACCATACTGTTGAATGAATCAAAGTATTTCCAGAAATTTACTTACTGGGACAACGTCCATGAAATAATCTCCAGGACCACTGGCCCTGTGCCAAGGACACTGAAACCTTTAGTCTCTAAGCTGCTTTCCTGCTGAGCCATGGGGTTCTCTTTTTGCTCCGTGTTTGTGCAATCCATTCAATTAATATGCATTAGATGCTGTATGTTTCCTGGGTTGCTCTAAGAAGGTAACACACAACTGGGTCCCTCAAATCAAAAGAAAATCATGCTCCTTTAGTGTTTTTTTTTTTTTAATTTGAGACAGGGTCTCGCTCTGTCTCCCAGGTTGGAGTGATCTTGGCTCACTGCAGCCTCCGCCTCCTGTTCAAGCAATTCTCCCACCTCAGCCTCCCAAGCAGCTGCGATTACAGGCATACACCAGATTATGCCAGACTAATTTTTGTGATTTTTTCTCTTTTTTTTTTTTTTGAGACAGAGTCTTGCTCTGTTGCCCAGGACCTGGAGTGCAGTGGTCGCGATCTCAAGTCTCACTGCAAGCTCCACCTCTCCAGGTCACGCCATTATTTCCTGCCTCAGCCTTCGAGTAGCTGGGAACTGACAGGTGGCTGCCTCTATGCTTCCGTCGCTCTTTTTGTATTTTCAGTAGAGATGGGTTCACGCCTGTTTATCAAGCGATGGTCCTGGATCTCCTGACCTTGCTGATTCCGCCCACTCTCTGGCCTCCCATGAATACTGGATTGAACAGGCGGAGCCACCCCATCCCGGTTCCAATTTTTGTGTGTTTTTTAGTAGAGATTGGGGTTTTTGCCGTTGTTGGGCAGGCCTGGCCTCTAGAAACTGTCTTAACCCGTCGGTGACCTACCCTGCCTCGGCCTCTCCAGTGGCTGGGATTGATACAGGTCTGTGAGTCGTCATCACGCAGCCCATTTCCCTATTCGGAGAACGTACAGAGTGTATACTCTGCCTTTCGTCATCATATGGCTTTTCCTTTCTTCATGCACTATCTGTGGTGGTTTCACCATACATCATTTAAAGGATTAGGGACTAACACATCCCTAACCCAGTGATAAACCTGGACTTAACCCAACTTACACCTGGCAATTCTATATTATCGTTCAATCCAAATAATAATTCTCTTGTCTTCCTGTCCCCAAGTAACTGAATGGCATCCCTCCCTCTAGACCCAGGGGGCATTCTAAAGTACAACCTGAAAACCTAGTTCGCCCGGATGGGACGGCTGGCTGGAGCATGCCTCTTATAACAAAGCCTCCTCGCCATTGTAATCGGCCACAGCTGACCATTTTTAACCTCAACAACCAGCCTTAAGACTGCCAGGGCGGGCGTGGGGTCACGGCTATAATCCTGCACTTTTGGAGGGCGAGGTGGGCGGCATCTCTTTGAGGTCAGGAAGTTCTTCCAGAACCAGCCCTGGATAAGTCATGCCGTGAAACGCTGTCTCTTACTAAGACATACAAAAATCGTTAGCCGGCAATTGGTGTTGGTGTGCTCTGTTAATGCTCAGTCTATCTCAGCGAGGCTCTGAGGCATGGCAGCAGATCAACTGTGAAAGCTCCGGGAGGCGAGGTTTGCGAGTGAACCCGCTGAAAATCGCGCCAGATCTGCCACTCCAAGCCTGGGGTTTGACGGACTGCAGTCTGCCTGGGGGCTAGACTTTCATTATACTTGGCCAAGCGGGAGCTTGGTGGCGTGACTCACGCTGTAATCCCCATACATCTTGGTGAGGGGGTCTGAGCGCGGTGCGGGATTAACCTAAGGTTCAGGAGTCTTCATGACCAGCCTGGCTCAACAGATGTGAGACCCCCTCCCGCGTCTCTACACTAAAAAATTAAAAATGCATAAAAAAATTAGTTAGGGAGTGGTAGTGGGGGCGCCTGTAATCCAGCTACTCAAGGATGCCTGAACAGGAGAATCACTTGAACCCGAGAGGCGGAGGTTGCAGTGGGCTGAGATCGTGTCACTGCTCTCTAGCCTGGGTGACAGTCTCCGTCTCAAAAAAATAAAACAAGGAAACTTGACCAGGGACTTGTCACAAATCAACCCAAAAGAAACACATGCTGTGCACTGGACGCTATCTGAGGTGCCGGGGTATGCAATCCCCTTCTTTAGGGGACTTAAGTGGCTCCTGTCCTGCTCGGCTTCCTTTTGTCCCCTTCGGGTGAGGGACAGAACGGGCTTTTAGGTGTCTGTCCAACTTCTGCTTTGGAATTTGCAAATGCAGGAAGAAACTCAGTAAATATTTATTGACGAATTAGTGCAACTTCTCGTTGGCAGCTTGCCAGTTTCTGCTTGGGCTTTTGTAATGTGAAAGCTGTTGGCTGGGCACAGTGGCTCACACCTGTAATCCCAGAAGTTTGGGAGGCAGAGGTGGAAGGATCACTTGAGGTCAGACCAGCCTGGCCAAAATGGCAAAACCCCATCTCTACTAAAAATACAAAAATTAGCTGGATGTGGCGGCAGGTGCCGATAATCCCACGTGGGAGGCTGAGGTGGGAGGATTGCTTGAACCCAGGAGGCGGAGGTTGCAGTGAACTGAGATGGCCCCCTGCACTCCAGCCTGGGCGAAACAGCCATCGCACTCAGCCCTCCTCCTGCTTTTTTTTTTTTTTTTTTTCCTTTGAGACAGAGTCTCACTGTGTCACTTGAGGTGCTCTTCCCTTACCCACTGAATGTCCTCAGGAGATCACGTATCAGTTAAACTGCTATTTTGCCTCTTAGTGCACATGCTTGTACCCATTCACCCAACTCCCAAGATCTTATTGGGAAGCTGCTCATCACCAGCTTTGGGGGTTTTCTTTTTCTTTTTTGAGACAGAGTTTCTCTCTTGTTGCCCAGGCTGGAGTGCCATGGCACGATCTCAGCTCACTGCAACCTCCGCCTCCCAGGTTCAAGCAATTCTCCTGCCTCAGCCTCCTGAGTAGCTGGGGTTACAGGCATGTGTCACCACGCCTGGCTAATTTTTGTATTTTTAGTAGAGACGGTGTTTCACCATGTTGGCCAGGCTGGTCTCGAACTCCTGACCTCAAGTGATCCACCAGTCTCAGCCTCCCAAAGTGCTGGGATTACAGGCGTGAGCCACCACGCCCAGCCCTTCCCCCACATTCTTTCATGATAAGGCCCACTAACTCCAAAGCCAAAATTCCTAGTTGCCCAGAAAATCGAGTTCCCCTGTCCCTTAGGGCAGGGATGGCTTCGTCCCGGGACATGAGTGCAAAATATCTGGGCTCTGTGCTACCAGTGCTGCCAGGAAGGAGAGGGCAAAACTGCATTTCCATTGTAAAGCGATGCCAATGTTCGGCGTGCTGCCTACATGTCAGCAGCCGACGCCTCCCACGCGGTCACAAGGCACTGGCTCTAAGCGAATTTGCTTAGCTCCCACCAGCTGCTCCCGGTGTTTAGTTCTGAGGTTTGTGCATTTTGTGGTTGATATACTAAGGCACAGAGGTTGAGTCAATTGTCCAAACTCACTCAGCTGTGAAGTAGATAAGCCTGGATCCAAACTGTGTGAGGGACCATGAGTCCATGCCCCGCACGCCCCACTCACTGCCCCTTGGGTCAGAGGATGAGGGCCAGGCACATGCAGGGCTAGCTAGAGGCCATTCTGTCCAGCCTGTCCAAGGTCAGCCGCAAGGCCCACCCACTCTGGCAGGAAGACCGCTTGCGGCCTAAACACCATGTTGAAGGGGGAGTTGGGCAGGGTGAAGTTGGCCAGGTAGACGGTGTCCCCACCTGTGAGGTAGGCGGCCCAGATCCCGAAGGTGCCCACAGTGATGATGGTGTGGTTGCACTGTGTGAGCAGTGCGAAGTCCTTGGCAGGTGAGCCCTGGAGGCCATTGCCAGCGAACACCACGTCCCCAAGGGAGCTGTTGATGCTGTCCCGGCACCAGGCCATGTCATCGCTGGTGACCACAAAGACCGGGAGGCGGCAGCGGGCCCGGAACCAGTCCAGGGCCCGCTGCAGGTAGCCCCAGTCGGCCAGCACCCCCCTCCATACACGTGGCATGACATGGACATAGTCCCCCCGGCGCACATGGACCCCCACGAAGGTCGCCTGCCCTGCCCACTTGGCCTGCAGGCCCCGCAGGAACTTCTGGGCCTCCTCACGCACGTGGTCATGCAGGGTGAATTCCTGGAGGATCTCGTGGCGGAGGTGGTGGTAGAAGGTCCAGGAGCAGGGGTAGCCCGTGAGGCGGACATAGCGCCCAGGGATGTGGCGGTACTTCTCCTCCATCCAGTCGTTCAGGTGGTAGTTCTGCCAGGGGATCCTGCTGGCTGTGGCACTGTGCAGCACTGGCAGGGTGATTCTGAAGATGGGGGCCAGGGTGCTGTGCATCTGGACTGGGATGAAGGCGGGCCGCCCGTTCATCTTGGCCAGGGCATACAGCGTGGCGTACTCACCCATCTGGTTCCCCAGGCGGCCCTTGGAGTTGATAGTGAACAGCCCCTCTCGGGGGAGGTGTCTCGGTGCCAGGACCACATGGGCTGAGTATGCCCAGGGCGCGGGCACCAGAGCCAGGCGCTGGTGGCAGTGAAAGATGGTGGACACTACAAAAATGGCAAAGAGGAAGTAGAAGGTGGAGAAGGAAGGGCAGGTGGCCCAGAATCCCTTGATGGCTGCGGGGAAGAGAGAGGACATGGTCAGGAGGGAGGGCTGGGGGGACAGCAGTCTCTTCACCCACCCCCTGCCAAAGTCATTCATTCACTCAATCCATCCAGGCCTCTGTCCTGAGTGCCATAGGGCATGGGAGGCCTCAGAGCACAGACCCTGGGGTCTTCCCACCCAAGACTGAGTTCCAGCTGGAATTCCCAGGCTTACCAGCACCTTACAACTTCAGCCAAGTTACTGCACCTCACTGAGCACAGTGGCTTGTTCCTGTAATCCTGGCACTTTAGGAGGCTGAGATGGGAGGATCACTTGAGCCCGAGTTCAAGACCAACTTGGGCAAAAAATGTAAGAACCTATCTTTACCAAAAAAAAAAAAAAAAAGTGTTTTAAATTAATCAAGCATGATGGCACGCACCTGTGGTCCCAGCTACTTGGGAGGCTGAGATGGGAGGATTGCTTGAGCCCAGGAGGTTGAGGCTGCAGTCAACTGTGATTGTGCCCCTGCACTCCAGCCTAGGCAACAGAGCAAGACCCTGTCTCAAAAACAAGAAGTTACTGAGTCTCTCTGAGTCTGTTTCCTCACCTGTTAAATGCGTATGAGTATACGGAACCATTGGAAAGTGTTAATATTCAACCTGATTTTACCTACACTTACGGCCATTTCTTTTACTTTTACTTTTTTTTTTTTTTTCCCTGGCGATGGAGTCTTGCTCTGTCACCCAGGCTGAAGTGCAGTGGCGTGAACTCGGCTCACTGCAACCTCCACCTCCTGGGTTCAAGCGATTCTCCTGCCTCAGCCTCCTGAGTAGCTGGGATTATATTTATGCACCACCACACCTGGCTAATTTTTGTATTTTTAGTAGTGACAGGGTTTCACCATGGTGGCCAGGCTGGTCTTGAACTCTTGACCTTGTGATCCATCCGCCTCGGCCTCCCAAAGTGGTGGGATTACAGGCGTGAGCCATCGTGCCCGGACTACTCACGGCCATTTCTATGGTTCTACCTCACAGAACTACCTCATGGGGTTGCATGAAGATTAAATGTGATGATTTTGTAAAGCAGTGCCTTGCATGCAGAAAATGCCCTGTACATGTTGGAAAATCAATGCCTGCAGTGGCCAGGCAGGTGCAGTGGCTCACACCTGTAATCCCAGTACTTTGGGAGGCCGAGGCAGACGGATCACCTGAGGTTAGGAGTTCGAGACCAGCCTGGCCAACATGGCGAAACCCCATCTCTACTAAAAATACAAAAATTAGCCGGGCGTGGTGGTGGGTGCCTGTAATCCCAGCTACTCAGGAGGCTGAGGCAGGAGAATCACTTGAACCCAGGAGGTGGAGATTGCAGTAAGCCGAGATTGTGCCACTGCACTCCAGCCTGGGTGACAGAGCGAGACTGTTTAAAAAAAATAACATAAATAAAATCAATACTTGCAGAGTATCTATTACATGCCAGGCACGGTGCTCGGGGCCAGGAAGCCAGCAGAGGACAAAACAGGTAAGAATCTTTGGTGCCCATGCAGAGGGAAAGAGCACAGGCGGGCCCAGGTTAATGGACAAGCTCTGCCTTCTGTAGGCTGGTGACCTGGAGGTGTTATTTAACTCCTCCTCTCCTCCTCCATGAAATGGGGCTGCCACACTCCTGCACTGGTAAGTGCTAAGCGTCTCCTGATACTATTAGTGGGTGTGGTAGGTTCAAGCCGACCACAGACTCCTGGACTCCCTTTCCCTTGAATCTGGGCAAGCTCATGACTGCCTTGACCAGTTTAATATGGTGCAAGTGAAATTGTGTCCGTTTCTGGCCCAGGACTTAAGGTACTAACAGCTTTCACTCCTTGCCTTGAGAATGTTCTCTCTGCGCTATCAAGTCAAGCTGGAGAGTTCAGCTTTTGTTTTTTGAGACAGGTTCTCACTCTGTCACCTAGGATGGAGTGCCAGTGGTCTGATCACAGCTGGGCTCAAGGGATCCTTCCACCTCAGCCTCCCCAGTAGCTGGGACCACAGGCATGTGCCACCATGCCCAGCTCTCATTTTTTGTAGAGATGGGGTCTCACTATGTTTCCCAGGCTGGTCTTGAACTCCTGGGCTCAAGCAATCCTCCTGCCTTGGCCTCCCAAAGTGCTGGGATTATAGACATGGGCCAGTTTTAGCTTTTGTATGTAGGGCTATGATTATTTATTTATTTATTTTATTTTATTTTTTGTGATGGAGTTTTTGCTCTGTTGCCCCGGCTGGAGTGCAATGGCACAATCTCGGCTCATTGCAACCTCTGCCTCCTGGGTTCAAGTGATTCTCCTGCATCAGCCTCCCAAGTAGCTGGGACTACAGGCACCCACCACCATGCCCAGCTAATTTTTGTACTTTTAGTAGAGACAAAGTTTCACCGTGTTGGCCAGGCTGGTCTTGAACACTTGACCTCAGGTGATCCACCCACCTCAGCCTCCCAAAGTGCTGAGATTACAGGCGTGAGCCACCACACCCGGCCAGCTCTTTTTTGGGCAACCGCTTTGAGATATAATTCATATACCATACCATTCACCCACTTAAAGTATAATTCATATACCATACCATTCATCCACTTAAAGTGTGCAATTTAATGGCTTTTAGTATATTTACAGAGCTATGCAACCAGCACAATTTTTGAATATTTGCATAATCCCCCACAAAAAAAAACCCAATACCCTTTAGCCATCTCCCCACAATCTTCCCTGCCCCTTGTCCCCCCACCAACTAATCTCCTGTCTCTATGAATTTGCCCATTCTCTATTTTTCATGTGCCTGTAATCACACACTCCATGGCCTTCTGAGTCTGGCTTCCTCACTTGGCACCGTGTTTTCAAGGTCCATCCACGCTGTAGCACGTGTCACAGCCTCACATCTTTTCTTTTTCTTTTTTCTTTTTCTTTTTTTTTTTTTCTTGAGACAGTGTCTCACTCTGTTGCTCAGGCTGGAGTGCAGAAGCGCGATCTCGGCTCACTACAACTTCCACCTCCTGCATTCAAGTGATTCTCCTGTGTCGGCCTCCCAAGTAGCTGGGACTACAGGTACAGCCACCACGCCCAGATAACTGCCTCACTCCTTTCAAAGCTGCAAGTCCCATTGTTGGGGTAGACCACAATTTATTCACTCATCAGGTGACAGGCACTGGACTGTTTCCAGTTTTCGGCTGTTGTGAATAGTGCCGCCATGAACCTGCGTGCTGGGTCACAGAGTGAACTCTACATTGAATCGTTTCGGGAGCTGCCAGGTGGCTGCCCCAGTTTCTGTTTCCACCAGCAGCATGGGAAGGCCCCATTTCCCGGCCTCGCTCGCCATCGTGTTTGGTTGTGGTGGGTGTGCAGGGCCATCTCACCATGGGGCCCGCGGTCCCGGTCCTCGCAATGGGATGGATAGTCCCTTCTCCGGGGGCTGCTCTTCCCGAGTCTCCTCCAGCTCTCCCCAGGGCTCCCAGAAGGTCCTCCGCTCCCAGCCTCTACCATGTCCTGATCGGCTTTCTCTTTTCCCCTGTCCACACCTCTGACCAATGTCCTATGGTTTCCCTGTGACCACTCCAATGGCTACAACTCAGCAGTCATCCCCTCACCCCCTCCCACCCCATTTCTGCTGAAGCCCTGGTTGGCAAGGGCTCACCCCCAAAACTTCTGGCTTCTGCCTCACCCCTCCCGGCTCCCCATCTCTCCCTCCACCTGTCCCCTTAAACATCGGGGTCCTGCAGGCCTCCTCAGCTCTCACCCTCCTCAGCTCTCATCCTCCTCTATTAGTTCCTCTGACCCTTTTGAGAAGCCTGAACACTCTGGGCCCTCCTTGAAAGTCTTGTGTGGGTCCCCAACAAGGCCAGCTGGCCTAAGGCCTAAGATAAATGCCTCTGGCGCTGCTTTAGTTTCCAAAAAGTGAATTAAATCTGCCCGAGCCCTTTTCCACTGAGCTGGTAAAAACTGTGTCCCAAACATGATCTTGCCACCCATTCAACTCAGGGTCCTGCCCCATGGAGAAGGAGCTGAGTTCTGAACCCAGCTGGAGCCCCCGGGCAGGTCCCAAGGCTAGGGCTGGGGTCAGGGGGGTGCAGGGCAGGGACGGAGCCTGAGCTACTGGCCAAGGGAAACCAGCTCAAGACAAGGGTGTCCCCCCGCAGGGTCCATCTTCATGTTGTGTGATTCGTGCAGTTGCGTTGAGACAGGCCCCACACTTGCTTTAATGATCTGGCGTCGCCATCTTAAAGTCCTTCATAAATTCTAAACAAGGGATGCTGTGTCTGCATTTTGCCTCGGGCCCTGCAGATCAAGCAGTGGGTACCGCGGCTGCCCTGGCTTTTCCTGGAGTCTCAGGTGCTCCCTCTTGTGGCTGTTCTCAGCCTAGACAACCAGAAAGCCACAGAAAAGCACCAGCCAAGGCCCAGGCTGCGAGGGTGCTGACAGGCCAGGCCCATCTTGGGGCTCGCTGTCCTGGCCCACGATTCCTTGTCAGCCATTTTCCTCAGGGGGAGGGGCAAACACCAACCTGTCCTGAACTCATCTGGGACAACCCTGGCTTGGAGGAGGGTCATGTGGCTATTTACAGACTTTACTTCTCTTACTGTGAACACCCATATGCTTTGCTGCCTAAAACAACATGTTTGACAATGTGATGCAGCCCAGACCTGCCATAAGTGCCACGTCACATACAGACTACGCGTCCGACAATGGGGCCAGAATGCAGAAGGTTCTGGAACATGACTGTCCCAGAGAGCTCAGATAAGAACCTGTGGGCATGTCAGCTCATTTAGTCCACACGACTCCCTCTGCCCACCATGAGGAAGGTCCATTCTTTCATCATCATTTAACAGATGAGGAAACTAAGGCACAGAGAGGTTAAGGAGCTTGTTCTCGGTCACACAGCTAGGACAGAGGTGGATTTGAACCCAGGCAGTGTTGCTGGGGTTACCATCCTGGCCTTTTTGAACACGTCCAGGGAGGGCAGGCCCTACCCAGCCACACTCTGCCCAGTAACTCCTGCGGTGTGACCTGCCCCACCTCGTGGGGCCTCTGTTATGTCTGGGTCACCGAGGCAGGGGTTGGAGGTCTGTGCGAGCCCAGCACTGGGGGTCTCTCTGGGTTGAACCCACCTCAGAGCTGTGCCTTGGGCAGGCCCAGCCTTCTGTGGAAGCTGAGGGTGAAGGTCTCCAGCCCTTAAAGAACTCTCCCCGACAAAATAAGCCAGTCTCCTTCCCAGCTTGGGGCACGATTTGCTTGGCTCTGGCAGCTCTGGCTCTTCTTCCCCGCCTGTCCCCAGGCACCCGCAGGGGCACAGATCAACTCAGGCAGCTCAGGCTGCAAGGAACAAAAGCATCCCTCCAGGAGCCGGAGCTTAAGAGACTTCGCCCAGGTGGGGAGGACGACGTAG